TTTTTTTTTTTTTTTTTTTTTTTTTTTTGATTTCAGAGAAACATTTGTAAAATTTTCAGATTGGTCGTGATTGGAAAAAAAATTAAATATTCTTAAATTTAAGATTATTAGAAAATTATTTGCAATATAATAAATATTGATTTCATTGATTCATTATCTTTATATATCATAATTTTATTATTAATTAAATTATTATCGACAGATCTGTCCACTCGTGAAATAATTCAACCACTTATCAATGAAATCGCTTTCATTATAACGATCTTCAAAATAATATGAAATTTTTGAGTTCCTCGATTATTATATTACCATTATTAATTACTATCGTCAACGTTCATTATTTAATTAATAAATTAAATTGCAAAAAATTTTTGAAACTAGTTTCGCAATGTTAACATTTTTTTACGAAAAAAATCGTGAAATCCTTCACATCTCTATATTTTAATAAGTATTTTAAAATATTATTTTATTTCACCTTCGATTACAAATTATCGAAAATTTATCTTCGAAGAAAAAAAAAGAAAAGAAAAAATATATTTAAAATTATAATTCAAAGTTACCAAATTTCCGCAAATCTTTTCCAATAAATTTCACGATGAATGTATTTACGTCACTTTACTTATATTTTAAAAATTGTGATTTATTCTATTTGATTATAATATCTAATTATCTCTAGAATCACTAGAAAAATAAATATTATAATATATTTACAATATAATATGCAAAAATTTCAAGGATTCTCGTTAGATTTATACATATCAAGAATATATGCAAATCGTACCTGGTGGCGGGGTTGAATTCATTGCTTGTAGCTGCAAACATTCTTGCTCCCTCTCCATTATTATTCGATGGAATTCCTCGTCCGGAAGTGTGCTGCCTGCTGTCGCGTTCACGGGCATCTGTAACAAATTTTATAAGATTTAAAATATCTGTCCTTGAGGGGAGATTGAGAACAATGTGAATTGATAACAATGTGAAATAATTATTTATACAGCGAGAAAATGTAATATTAACCCCTCCAGGAGTATTATCACAGTAATAATTATTCAAAATTTGTGATAGATTTTTACTCTTTTATTTTTTTTCTTCTCATTTTCATTAAATTACACTTTATATTTATAAATTGCTATGTTTAATTATTTAATTATTTTTGAATTGTATAATCCTTCCGTCCTTTCATTTTCACATTCCTCTATTTATTTTCGTTCTTGCAAATAATTGTGCAAATAATATAAAATTTAAAAAAGAAAAATACGTTTTAAAAATATGATTTCGATAATAACGAATGCAAGAAGTTATATATTGATCTAAAAATAAAATTGGGTCGTATAGATTTGAAGCACAATAGAAAGGTTGATACAATAGAAGGGTTGACGTATTAACGATTTTTAATATGTAGCGTTTGATTCAGTGGCTATATATTAGTAAGCTGTATCGGCAAATTGATCTGAAATATAAAGACTATAAATAACTAATTTTCAAAAATCATAAATCAAAAATCAAATTATAGAGCAATTCTTGATACAATTTTTACATTCGATTTTAATAATACTTACATGATAAAATAATAAAAGAATCTATGAAAAATCTAGATCAAAATCAGGGAGAAAATCAAATCGAAAACGAAGGTAAATTAAATTTTCTAATCTTCTCGATCAATGTTAATAAAAAACAAAATTTATCGTTGTCGAACTTTAATTAAAAAGATAAACATAACTCGCACGCGAATTAACAAAGATAGTCGAACGAATTTCGTATCTGTTATTCTTTATCTGATCTTTGAAACAAGAACCAAAGCATCTCTGGGAATATTTTAAAAAAATACCATCTCTTTGGAAGCGCGAGAATAATTAGATCTCGCGTGTTGGAAAATTGTTGGAAAATTGAAATAGATGCACGATTCCGAACGCGGGAGCATCTACGATTTATGAATAGAGATCGTTTCAATTGATACAGAAGCTTGTAATAACTTCATTGGAATGCGAGTTATTGCGTCCATTCGAATGACGGGACAGGAAACAATAAGTAACGTTTTACTGTACCGCGACTGAGCTCGATTCCGCAGAGAAATCACGTCAATATCTATGCATGTTCTCTATGCGTGTTCATCTACTGTTCTATATCTAAAATCAAAATGCTTAATTTTTTTTTTTTTTTTTGTTAATTATCTTAATAGAAATATTTAAATTATTTCAAATATACAGATCCCAACTCTTCAAAAAATCTGGGATATTTCACTTTAAATTATTTTATACAGATATTATATAATACAGATAATATAATGTAAAGAAAATCAAATTATTACATTCATACATCTAAAATCAAAATGCTTAA